GGTTGTGTGGGTACCGTAGTTTCGACTAATCAAAATGAAAAAATAAATGTACATTTATTTTTTCAGGGGCTGCAAGACCAAAACTCAACATGCCTAAGACAAACGTTACTGTGCCTGAAACCTGTATTGAAGTTATTAGCTGAATCTTCTAGTTGCAAGGACATTCTACCCATTTTAAATGAGTTGCCCCTATTAGCAAATCATCCATACTGGCTCGTCAAGGTAAACGCATAATTTAATTTCTCGTTGATGTATTTAAATCGTATTGGGTTGTTTGAAAATTTTGTTACACATGTACTGTTTATTTCAGGTAGCTCTTTGTGAATTAGTTTCAACGCTATCTTATTTAACAATTTATCATATAACTGGTAACTGTATCTTTCAACAGAAAGTTTTACACAACATACTATTCTATTTGTTAAAAGATTCAGATCAGAGGATACGAAATGCCGCATCGAAGGCTATACAAGAGTGAGTAGGATAGCATTAATTGCCGTAATAGTGCTTTTATTATCTGACTCTTTTTAGGATAATTAAACATTTATATTCCGAAGAATATCATTCAAAAGAGGACCCAATAACAACAAAAGGAATATATTCTGTCAGTGAACACATTTCATGTTTACGTGATAAACCACTCCATCAAAATTTATATTATACTCATTTTGTCGAAGACATGCCGTTTCCATATTCCCAAATATCTGCGATTGCCTGTGGACGCGTTGATTACTGTCTGTCAAAAATAGTCATGAAATTATACGTCAATATGTTGGAAACCGACTCTAAGTCTTGTATAGTAAGTTTAGTTTTAACATATTTTTTTAAGTGCTAAGCAACGAACAGGGATATAATGCGCAAACTACTATTTGATGAAGTTGGTTACTTTGTAATCATAAAAACGATTAAGGACGCGCAAAAACAAATCAAATTGCTACCAAACAGATCAACGTTCCGCAATAAAGACAATTGATCTACTTCATTGTAGGCCTGGGTAACACTATGTTGAGTTGTTGCTGCTCTTTGAGTTAATGAGTTATAACTCATTGGTTAATAAAGTAAATACGTCATTTATTAAAACGGATCATAGCGTTACGAGAGCCGAGACTGGAATTTTAGCAACTAAAAAAAATCAAAGGTCATCAACATTTTCCCAGCAACGGAACTGAGTTGCAGCGCCGAGGGTTGGGTTGGCGCACCAAGTCACTTGCGCAGCACTGCGTCAACTCCCAAAAATTAACTGATTTAACTGTTCTGTAGAAACAATTGCTTGAAAATACGGTCTCTTTGGTTTTTTTTGTCTAAAACGGGGAGGCCGGAAATTTTGAAGAAACTTAAAAATTCTTCACAGCGATGAGGGTGATGAGTTTTCCAAATAATTCATTACAAAGTTTCGCTTGTTCTGTTTGGGGAAATATTTTTAGGAAAAAAACCCAAAAAAAATTATTAGGGTTTTGTCCAAAATTCGAAGCTGCAAAGGGTTTTCGAAAAAAATTACAAAGCGGTTATGGGGCGAGGACTTCAGTAAAATTTAATTTATAATTTTTCTCAGAAAAAAACCTGAATATTGTACTCTTAAGGAAAGCTTTAGAAAACTAATGCTTTTCTGTGTAGAAAGAATTCTTTAAGGAAAACTTTGTTAAAACTGGAGACCTGAAATTAAAAAAAACTTTCATAATCTTCAGAGCGATGAGGGTGGTGAATTATCCAAATAATTTTTGCAAACTTTAGCCCTCTGGTCGTTTTTCCAAGCTAATATTAATTACTTTCAGTGAAAATTAAATTAAATTATTTGGTTTTTGTGCCTAATTCGAAGTAGAAAAGAGTTTTCTAAAATTATTTGCAAAGCGATGAGTGAGGCGAATTTTCAAACAAAATTAATTTTGAAATTTTTTGATGAAAAGACCCCATGATTGTCAGAAAAGAAGAAAAGCATTAACGGTTTTTTGCGCTTTTGATTAAACACTTTCAATTTTGTGATCGGTTTTTGAGAAATCTTTAATTATTTTCACGGGAAAACACGGAAGGGATTTATTTTCGTTTTCGTCCCTAATTCGACGTTGAAAAAGTTTTTGAAAAGTGTCTACGAAGCTATAAATTATCTTGTAATTTTTCGCGTTAAAAACTTTCAACTTGTCAGTATTTTTAAGTGAAACTCTAAAAAATAGAGCGTTTTAAGTAGAAAGTAAAGCAAGAAAAAATTCAGTCAAAATTAAAAAAGCAAATCTTTTAGCAAACCCTGCAGTCTTCAAAGGCATGGGGGTGACGAGTTTTCCAAATAATTTATTATAAACTTTCGCTTATTCCGTTCTTTGTTTGATAAAAAACTATTTAATTTTTGACCCAAATTCGAGGCTGTAAAGAGATTTCAAAACTTTTTACAAAGCAATGAAGAAGGCGAGATTTTTTTAAATAATTTTTCTCGAGAATTACCATAAGATTCTTAGTATTTTTAAGTGAAACTTTAAAAAATTGAACGTTTAGAAGAAAGAGTAACTTTGCTAACTGCTTGTGACGAGCATTACAAATACTTCATTATATGGTTTTGCTTTCTCTTATCGTTTTTAGGCAAAACTTTAATTTTTTTGAGAAAAAAACAAGAGTTTAGATTTTGTCCCAAATTCAAAAGGCCAAACGGGTTTTAATAAAAGGTATCGAAAGAAGACCAAGCTGTAAAGACGACGAGTTTTCTTGTGCAGGGTTATTCACGCTATACGGCACGGAATTTTGCGGCTAAACCGTTTGATTTAAAAAAATAGTATTTGATGAATTGGCAGAGGCCTACCGGGGGCACATTTAAGAAATAGTTTTGTGATGAACAGAGTGTCTCAAAAGACTTAAAAGTATCAAGGTTGTGTTTTTTTAAATGAAATACCCTATATATTATTGCATTTTTGTATTTTCTTAGCAAAATAAGTGTTTGTTTTAATAAGATTTATAATCTTATTAAAACAAACCTAACCCCCTAAATCTTAAAGTTTTTTAAATAATGTAATTTTTATCAGAATCTAATCTAATTTTCATGTGTCAAATACTTTAGAATTATTTAAGTTATGTAAGCGTAATTTGTAGCGAAGTGTAACAAGAAATCACATTTTATATCCCAATGATAACAAACGTGTTATTATTGGGATATAAGCCATGTTATAGAGGGTGACCATAAAGTTGAACTAATCAAATAAGATCTTTAAATGGCTATAGACTAAATATAATAACTAAATCATAGAAAATCGCTAAATATGTTCTTTTAATTGTAATGTAAGTGTTATATTTTTATAAATTTTATGCTTTTAGTATGGTTGCATTCAGGCTCTTTCGGACTTGGCCTGCACGTATCCCTGCACTGTTTATCGAATGGGCTGGGATATTACCAACAGAGTTAGAGAGACGGATGGAAATATAAAAGATTTGCTAAGCTTATGTGTCAGCTTACTAAATTCATCCGTTCATATTTACGACATTACCTTCTTGGTCAACCTGATCAATTTGACGTTAAATTTATACGCAGGTAAGTAAGTTACAGCTCTGTTTCTGTGTGTTGGACAGGATGGATGATGCGTAAAAAAGACGTAGTAAAAGAGTATCGCGTGAGAGCAATATAGACATTTCAAAACAGTCTGCTATTAATTAGTAAGTGAACAGTTGTCGAAATGAGAGTATTCTACAGCGGAAAGAATTGATTTGATTCTCATCATAGGCGAATATATATTTTTTTAATACATTTTATCAATCAAGTTCTTAGGCTGGCTTGTGGTTCTGTGAGCTGTATAGGTTTTTTATCACAGGTAGGGTGCTAACCGTTTCTTTTTTCGGCAGGCCTGTATGCGTTACCGTAAGTCCGATTATAATTTCAAAACAAGTTTTGAAATTTGACATCGTGCACTACCAAACGTACATTTTACAGTACAGTTTTTCGACCAGATGGAAGCATGCTAAGAACCGGCGTAATGTTCGCGAAAATCGGCCTAGCGCTCGGTCGCAGTCGAGTGGTGGAGAAGCAGATCCTATTACTACATGTACGCGTTTCCTCCGCCGCTGCTGCTTGCAGTGCACGATTTTAATTTTTCAAAACTTTTCAGAAATTAGAATCGAACTTACGTTAACGCATACAGGCCTGCCAAAAAAAAACGCACTACAAGATTTGAATCGTGATTTTGAGAAAACTAATACGACAGCACCCGCCTTTGGCATATATAAAGAACATTATAATCCCTACTTTCCAGCTCAAAAAATGACGGAGCTCTGAATTACTAAAAAACGCCAAATTTTTTCGTTTTTCCTAAATTTCTCTGAATCTAATTATCCGATTGAGGCGAAATAATTTTATTCTGCAGAGAATAAAAATCTCATTAGGGTATTTCGATTGCTCCATTTGTTTAAAGTTATAAACAAAAGCCGAGTTTTTTTGCAATAAATTGTTAATAACTAAAATAGATAGAGATAGATCGGAAATGCGAGTGAAAAACACATACCTATCATCTGCTCATTATGTTTTATATAATCGCACAATTGGTTTGCTACTAGTCTTTGTGTCACGATAAAGCAGTTTTAAATGCCTATAGCTTGGCCTAATATAAATATGTATTTCTGCTTCCTGTTCTAGGTTATGCGATAGTTTGCCTCAAGCCCATTGATTTAACGGAAAAGCCACTAGGAGCTTGGCCAATGTTCTTGAATGAAACGTTCAAAACGATTTCCGATCAATATTTATTACATATTATGAGACTATTGAACATCTTTCATCATGTAATTAACGAATTGGTACCAGTTAGTGCTCAAAATAAAACTGTTTTACCTCACTTGCCATCTACTGGAACCTTGTCGCCCATAAAGAGGCGGAAAAGCGAAGATAAAAAAATGCCAGTAGGATATACTAGGAGTCCACCTGAAAAAGATGACAAAATTGATAGAAAAGAAGTTAAAAACATTGGTTTTGGATATTTTGCCTGTTCTCAGCATTATATGAAAATATTCGAATTATTGAAAAACGCATATCTTAATTACAAGGTTTGTATAAATTACACACTTTTTGATTAAATGGAATTTTGAATTGTATCATTTTAGATGTGTATAGATCCTGCAACTTCAGACAGCTTTGTAGAGTTAATGCGGAAGACTATTCATACATTATGCGTAATTTTGGAAGTGGGCTCTCTGAACGAATTTGGAAAATTGTCTGAAGAAATTCTTACTTATTTAAAAACTACATTTTATCTGGATAAAACTCTTACTGTTCAGTGCGTGCAACAACTAGTAAAATGTCTATTTGGAATCAACTTGACTGCGAATTTAGGAGACATACTAGATGTAACTACAAAGGAAAATAAGGTAATATATTGGTAGTGCATGAATATGAGAAAGCTCATACAGGGTAAGATAAGTTTTTCCTTGGTAGTTATAAATTTTTTAGAGTTTTGTTATTCGATGATCCACGACTGATCAAAATTAAGGTTTTTTATTAATTTTAATTTACTAAGCCAATTTTATTGCCAATAATTGGGGTCTCGTCTCACCGACAAGACGAATCCCCAAGCTAAGGGCTGAGGCTCAACAGAGCGCAGCTGGGAAACTGCTCTATCGAGTATAGCGACCATGCCAGGTACGTAAAGGCCGGGACAGATTTACCTGATCCGACTCCGATCATGCACTCGGACGAATATCTGAGAGAGATATGGTACCAGAATTTGAACGCCATAGCACAGCATAAAGAGTAAGTAATCTTTATGCTGTGGCCGTAGTTCACATCTTTCCACAACCTGCCCGATCCGTCTTCGTTTTTGTATCCGATCATGTTGAATCTAATTGAAGAAGGGGGGGAAATATCAAATGACGACTCTGATGGGAGTTGGATCGTATAAATGTGTCTCGGTCTTTAGTCGATCTACGTCCGATCGATTACGCCACGCGGCAACTGGGTCTAATAAAGTCACATTGTTTTGAGTCTTTTGACCCTCGGAACTCTTACTTACAACGATTCGGAACTTACAATGATTCGGCAAAAATATTTCGCCGACGGTCTTCTATTTCCAATTTAGTAATCCCAAATATTCCCTAAACCCCGATTCACACTTTAAGACGCCCAACGACCGGCGGACACGACAACGACACGACAATGTTTTTCTCTCTCATTCTTGCCGAGAATGTCGGTCGGCTTTGTCGTTGTCCGTACATGTCGTTACCGGTTAGTGTGAACGTCACCTGATCTCATTTAGAAATGTTTTTCGGGCTTTGAGACGTGGTCCATGGGGATTTCTTTCTGACGTTTCGTCCACAACTGCGGTGGACATTATCAAAGGCTGGTTCAACTACTGGATCCCCTGTCGTATTTATGCGGCCCGGCCGTGTGAGCTCATGCGTGAGGAGTGGGCGAGACTTCAATTGTTTTGGCGCACACGCTGTTTGCCGCAAAACGCGTTTCCAATCTGGATTAAGAGCCGTTCCTCTTCTTTCCTATTAATATTGTTGTCATGTTTAAAGATCTCAATGGCCTCTCTGGTTAGTCTCGGGTAATACCGCTGAGATTGATGCAAAATGTCCACTTCATCGAAACGTATTTGGTGGCCGTCTAGAAGTGCGTGCTCCGCTAGTGCTGATTTTTCTGTTTGTTCTAATCTGCAACTTCTTTTATGCTCAGTGATCCTAGTGTTTACACTACGTTTTGTGGTGCCGATATATGCTCTGCCTCAACTGCATGGAACTCTGTAGACTCCTGGTGCTGATAAGGGATCCCGTTTGTCCTTGGTCGATCTCAAAGCCTGTTGGATTGTTCGAGTTGGTTTAAAAGTATCCTGCCGATCCTGTCCGTTACTTCATGTATGTATGGGAGGCAAGCCCAACCCTTACGCTTATCACGCATATCGGTTTTCTCAGGACGACCTCCACTGTTTCTTGGTCGAATTGCTCTATTAAACTCGTTCTTGCTGTATCCATTCCAACCAAACATCCTTTCTAGGTGTTTCAATTCTCTTTCTACTTTAGATGGTTCGCAAATTCTTCTGGCTCTTTCGGTGAGGGTTTTAATGACTCCTCTCTTTTGACTGCGATGATGGTTTGATCCACTGTGCAGGTACCGGTCGGTATGTGTCGGTTTTCTGGCATTTCTTAAAGAACTTGGCGGCACAGCGTGATTTGTTTATTTTTGGTCCACTGAACATATGCAAAATTGAGATTCGTCGTATTTCCTAGAAACAACGCTTGACACAATACCCTAAAAAGGCGCGGTGCTGTCGCGTCGTAGCTTGTTATGAATTTTATTTCTAACTAGATTGCAATTATCTCGGGCGTGAGTTAGAGCAAAAGCTAGTATTTTGCGGCTAGCAAGTAAGACTTTGAACGCTTAATGGACAACACAAAATTAGGCACACTCAAATTCAATTTTTTTAATTTTTAGGTTTTGTTGTATTTGATTCACTCTCTTTTCTCTCTCCATTCATCCGTCTCATATGCTCGCATCTCTGACAACTTATGTTTTTAAGAAAAATAAATTAACAATTTTATAACAAAAAAACGGTTGGAATGAACAAGAAATTACAATGATGTTAAGAGTTAAGTCTTCAGTAACTATAATTTAGCAAATAATTGAATGTGTTTGACTGATAACAATTTATGACTTTATAAAAGGAAATAAATTTGAGCAGAGTGTAACACTCGGATATTTCGGGTGATTCTTATCCTATGGATACCTTAACTTCAATCAAGCCTCGATGGTGAAGGGCGAAGGATCCTGAGGGGACCAGCTGGAGTGATCACTTCAGTTAGCAGCCGCGCAGGTCTTCCAATAAGTTTTGGTCGAAAACATATGAATAGAAAGAAAAATCCACAGTAAAGGAGTACCAAAATGTTATCCGACTTTACTCAGGCCCGACTGTGAATCAAAATTAAAGGAGAAAATAAACTGAACGAAAATTCAGTCGAACTTGAGTCTTTCAGCATAAAGTAATTAACTAATCAACAACTCAGTACAGGATGAATCTTAAAATTAAACGAAAAAGATGAATTGAAAAATCGGAAAAGGGAAAAAAATAAAAACTATATATGATAATTATTGTCGTGTAGAGGGCGACTGCACAAAAAAGGTTACCTAAGGCGTACATTTCGGGGGTAGCGGCAGTCGGTAAAAAACGGTGAATGAACACCCTTCGCGATCGACGATCGAGTGGGGTGACGCGCTGATTTTTAGCCATTTTTTGGGAGTGACCGGAGAAGTTTCGAGGGTACCGACACTTGAGCTTTTTTTGGTATTTTCGGTTCGCGGTTTTGCTCAACCAAAGTTTGGTTCTTTTGCTTTCCTCTGACCCTCACGTTCCGCAGAGTGTGCAGGGTCCCCAGAACACTGGTTTTTTCTCAAAACCGAGTTTTCTGACGCTCCGTTTTCTTTCGACCGCGTTCGTGCGCCCCTGGCGGCTGGCAAACGTCGTTCGACAAAGTTGCGTGTTATTTACCAATCGCGGGATTTTCATTTTTTCCGAAGCTACGGGTTTTCCACCCGTGTCGCTTCCGAGCCAAGTGCTCTCACCTAAACAGGTGTTTTTGCTGGACTTTGGGTGTGGCCACACCCGCACATGTGTTGAGTAAGCCTCTGGTGCGGCGATTTTTATTACCATATAAATTTGTTCCCACTTTATCGGTTTTCTCATCCCCCTATGCTGTTCAGGAACCTACTTATCTGGGGATTTCAAAGCCAAAGAGCCGACGTTTTTTCAATTCCTTGCTGGTTTAGGTAAAATCATACTGGCATCCCTGGAAGGAACTTTTTAGGCCTAGTGCCGCTTTTTGATTTAATTTCTAGGCCTGTTGGCAGTAATTAATTCCCCTTTTTTTATTTGTATTGTATTTGTATTAGATATTATCAGTATTAATATTATTAGATGTATAATTTTTTTATATATATTTACAAATTTGTGCGTTCACAATGGAACGAAAATATATCGTGTTAAATCGTAATTCTGGTGGGGAATCCGATCACGTCAGGGACACACACGAAATCGAGGACTCTAAAATCCTCCAAATAAAAAGAAATGAAGCAATTGAACTCGGAAGCCCGGGCCCGTCACCCCCGCGTTCGGGGTGACTACTTTGAGCGAATGTTTCGGCTTTGAGAATGCAACATTATCTTCACTAAAAAGTTGGGCGCCAGTATGCTTCCAAGTAGCATACAACTTGAACCAAACGAACGGGAGAAGCAGCATCAACATCTAAGTTACCAAAAGAGCTGGTTTTGAGCAATTGTTCCAAGAACTCTGAATCAGTGACACGCGGTCATGGCGGCCATCATTCGGCGGATTCGTCTATCCGGCTCCTGTGTCTCAAAATTCTACCTGGGCTGATTGGACACTCTTTTCCCAGTGAAAATTGATCATTAAGGAATATCTTGATACTAAAAAGAAAATACTCAAAAACTGACCATGCGGTATAAACTCTCAAAAATTGGTCACTGCGGTATGAACTCCCAAAAATCGACCACTCGATCGAATGGTCACGGCCTCATTCTTTTCACAGCCACCAAAAATCGCCCACTACATTTTTTTCCCCAACTTTCTGTTGGCGCAGGAATGAAAAAATTTCCGAATTCATTGACCCTAACGGACACGTAATCCTACGCTATCTGCTTAACAGATCTTTCGGATTTTACAGCAAGATTTTAACTATGATAAAAGAACAAAACGCCTCTGCTTGACAACAACTTGAAAACGCACACCGATGTCCAAAACAGATTCAAAGGTTTACGGCAAAATATTTGCATGTAAGAAGCTTCGTTTTTTTGTTTGCCCGGCGGCTGGATAAAAAATGTTCACAAATACCAGTGTTCCAAGACCCTGGATAGTGTTGGATTCTTACGAACTAAAACCCCCCTTTTTATGTCCTACTAGTTTTCGGGAGTTAGCCTTTAAAATTTGTAGTCCTCTTTAAGAATGAGTCAGCTCCGGCATCCGTATGCAATAACATATCATTATCTTACTAATTTTAGGCATCTTATAACTACATGCTGCTTGCTATTCTACTACGAACTCTATACTTTTACGCTATTACACTTACAGTTTACCCTGTTTTCTACCTATTGCCCTGTTGGGCCAGCTGATGTCTGGGCCTTTTTTCCTCGACTCGACCAGCGCGCGTCTCTGACCATCCGCAGAAGTTTGTTTTCTGTGGCCTGAAGTCTACTCAGGTGACACTCAGCTGCAGTGCAAGCATTCGCTAGTGTCGGCCTGATTATAGTCTTGATGAGGAGGAGCTGGTGGCTAATGCTCATCTGGCTTCTTCTATTGATGAGTGGATACAACTTGGCTGTTGTTGCCTTAACCTTGTCAATGGCTCTTTTTATATGTTTCTTCTAGATCAACTGCTTATCTAAAACAACACCCAGATATTTAATATCAGTTTCCCATTCGATATTTTTTTTGCCATCGACCTTGTCCTGCTTCCTGTCAGTAAGTATGACCTGCCTCTTCTCCACATTTATCTTCATTTCCCAATTGATAAACCACTGATGTAGTTCGTCAATTGCAAGTTGGAGCTGTTGCCTGATGCAGTCCTTGTGCCATGAGGATGACAGAAGGGCCGTATCCCGTGCAAAGAGCTCTAAGGTCGTATTGGCAAGTCTTGGGATGTCGCTTGTGTAGGTGTTGTATAACATTGGGGAGAGCACTGCTCTTTGTGGTACTCCTGCCGGAGTTCTTCTGAGTTCCCACTTTGACGCTAAAGCTCTTTCTGCAAATATAACTGTCGACTAGCTGGCACAGTTCTTGCTAATACCTGTTTCCATTATCTAGTATATGAGACCGTCTCTCCACATTTTGTCGAAGACTCTTTTGACATCCCCAGTCGTTCGATGCTGGTTTATTTCTTTAGTGCATCTTTCAACTATCCTGAGCAATTGGAGTTCCGTGGAATGCTTTCGTCTGAATACAAACTGTTCGGGCGGTATCACTTAGAGATCGCTCGTTTCGTCCTTGAGTCGCTTCAATATAGCCCTTTCGGCTGTTTTCCAGAGAGCGGGCAACAGGCTGATAGGCCTGTAGTTTTGGGGAAGGCCTTAGAGACGAGAGAGAGCGTGATGACTTCCGAGTGTTTCCAGGTGCTTGGGACGACCAGTCCGGAAAATGGCATTAATCAAGCAGTTCTTTTATCGGCAGGTTCTTCAGCATTTTGTTGGTGATTCCATTTCTGTTTTCTTAACTTTGGCTCTTCTGATGACGGCTGCTACTTCTGCTTGCGATGTTGGAGGGATGTGGCTGCCTGGCTTTTTGTTCGCAAGCATCCGGACAGTTACTTCGTGATGTACGTTTGCGTTTGGGTGTTGATTCAGCCTGGTCTCACTCTTCACAGATCTGGAGTTCCGTTGAGAGGTGGTATCTTGATACCCTTCTTAGGGCCTTTGGCATACTCCATATGCTTTGGTCCTCAGGTCTGGTAATTTCCGATTATTATGGTTCAGTAAGGCGTCTTTCAGGCAATTGCCCTTGTCGGTTAATGGCGCTTCTGTTATCTTCTGTGGTTGATAATTTTTCTACGGATCATTATTGGTAGTTCTTCATGGATTACCGGCAATTCTTCTCTCGTGTGCTTGTTGCATTGCTACTTTCAGGCTTTTTGCTGCTTGTTCCACACCATCCTCATCCTCTAGATGCGTAATGTAGATTAGTAAGTGTGCTAGCTCTTTGAACTTTACCCAGTTTGTTGTGGTTCTAGTCTTCCGCAGTGGTATCCTTTTTTCGTCGCCACAACACAGCAAAATTGAGTTTTGGTCTGAGGTTCCTTTTTCTATGGTGGTGAGATCTCTGGTCCCAAGATCACTCCACCTTGGGCATCTATTGCTTCGGCGAACAGTCGACCTTTACTGCAGGTACTAGTGCTGTTCCACTCTGTGTTTTTGCAGTTTAGGTCTCCTACCAACAGGCTTGCTTGGTTGTTCCCTAACATTGTTTGAATGTCCTGAAGGTTTAGGCTCTCCTGGGCGGGCTTGTATATTACTGGCTTCTTGGTGGTGTTGACTTGCACGCTGGTGGCGTGTATATCAGTATCCTCTACCTCTATGCTGTGGTGGTCCATGTCTTTCCTAATTAGGAGGGCCACTCCTCCACGTTGAGTGCTGTTGTGCCTGTAAACCGCGTAATCCTAATATTACTTGTTACCTTGGTTTTCTGGAGGGCTACCACTTCAGGCTTCCTGTGGTTCAGAAACTCGTCCAGTTCTGGACGTCGATACCTTAGCCCATTGACGTTCCAAGTTGCTACCGTGAAGCTATCAGGCTGTTTAGGCATAGATCCCGGACCATTACTGCCTGTACAATTCTATCAACACTGGGCTTCGCCTCGGGTGTCAACTTCAAGCAGTGGCGGAACTTCGACTTTCCTCTCTTGTACCGTATACTATTTTTCATGAATTCATAAAATGTTGTCAAAACAGTCAAGCTGTCTCACGTTGTTCCACACGGGACGAAAAAAAAGTTTTCAAATTTGTAGTTTTAAACTAACTTTTCTCGAGATAATGCCATGTAACACGTTAAATATCTCAAACTATGTATACTCATAAATGTCCATGAATATTCAGCTGTTATTGTCACTTGTAAAGTTATGTTGTTTTCAGGAAAACGATTATTCATTTTATTACAACATGATTCAGAAACCCGCCCAGAAAGTGTCCTCATGTATTCAATCTCTTATTACCATAAGCAAAGTGGAATGCGACGGTGACAATACTCTTATGGGGTATTTACACAGAAAAGACGTTAAGAAGCCTGTCGCTATTGCAAGAGCGTCGGATAAGATATTAGCAAGCTATATTCCAATATTTGAGCCGATTGTAATTAACTCTTTAAAGGTGAGTCTTTAAAAGTGTTAGAATTCCGACAGAAACCCCTAAAATATATTTTCATGTATTTCTCGCAGCATTACACCGTTACCAGTGACGTTATTTTCCAAACTTGCGTATTGAAATTATTAACGCAACTAGTACAAGCTCGAGTAAATTATTGCCTGCTTGATTCGGAGCAAGTTTTCAAGGATTCTGTTTTAAAGCAGTTCGAGTACATAGAGGAAGGTCTAATACCGTAAGTTGACAATATAACAGGAAGTAAAACTTGTTTTATGGAGGCTTTTTATCTCTTAGGTATCCTGAAAAAATTATACCAAATATTTTCAAGTTCTTAGTCCACCTATCTTATGCGAAGCAGCATAATAAAAGCATAGTAGATGTCCCGAAAATAATACAACTTTGTGATGGTCTAATGGCTAGTGGACAGGATCCTGAAACCCATTGCATACCTTCACTTAAGCCGATCGTTGAGGACGTTTTCTTGTTTAGGAGTCGGTAAGTACTTACCGTAGTAAATATTCATAAATAAAATGGATCTGGGCGTACTAAAACGTTTGTAAAAAATTGTGTTAATCGGCGCAACCGCATAAATGTTGATTTAATTGGCTGTTTAACAACTAAATCAAGTCATCTCCACATTACCTACATGATAGTTTGCATTTATTTCAAATCGTAAATATTTTAATTGGAACAATTTCACCCCCTGTATTATGAAAACGGTCCACCTAATAGGGTTTTACTATATTTGAAGCGAGAATTATGTATACTATGTTGTAACCTGGCGTCTTGGGACACACTACTTTGTGTATTGAATTTTTAATGACGATATTCATAGTCAAAGTAATTTTTCATTTATTTTAGTTCAAATACCAAAGATATGAAAGAATTAGAAACAACTCGCGAAGTTATACTTTCAATGCTCTTACGGCTTTTGGAATACCGGGAAGTTATAGATTTAGTCACTATTATATTAGAGGAAAGTAAATATTGTACGGATGATACAGAAAAGTGGTTAAGATTGTCTGAACAAGTAGGAAATGTGCTTTTACATGCCCTCCAACAAGATAAGATTAGAATAAGCGAAGAAGAAACCGTTATTTCGTTGCGAAAGCTGATCGCTGCCCTGAATCCGAACGTGTTTAAGGATATGGATGACGTGATTATGATGTTGTTTCAAGATCCCCGTTCGCTGGTAATTCATCAGAATATGCGTTGTAATAAAATTGACCCCATTTTTGTTTTAGGGCAATGGACATCTTTTCAGTCGATGGATTTCCAAAGTTATTATTCTATTTTTTTTAATGTCTTCTTTAAAAGAAGATAAATTGCTTTCTAAAATTGATTCCATCAAAGACAAATTTTGCCCTGGCAGTATTTTCGACAATTTTACAGCAACTTCGGATCCTTTAAACGTATACTGCAACACATCTCCTTTTCAAGACATGCCAGCAGAAAATATAGTGGCAACGTTGATTTTTAGAATAATTTATCTTACTATTAGAGTTATTGCTAACTCCGACTTGAAGAGTAATCCGTTTCTCATAAGCCAATTTAGTACGTTTTTAATGTATTGTTCACATATTTTTCAATCAGGTTAGTTGAAATGTTTTGTTGCAAAGTGCTTTAAGCTTTTATTTCTAACAATTTTCCAGGTATTTTATGTAAGATATCACAAGCAGCAGCAGCAATTTTGCATCTATCCCCTTCTGAAGTCAATTCTGATGAACTGAATGAACTTTTTGGAAGTGTTAAAAGGGTCCACCCGGTCCTTACCTTTCAGTGGTGCCACCTTTTAAGTCTTTTAAACTATCAGTCACTGGAGTTCTGGAAAACAATATTAAACAGTAAAGACGATTCAATAAACATTTGCTTAGTGAAGAATGGAGGAGTTATTGTTTACTGTGATTTACTGGTAATTTATTTTGAGACATGTGAAACCTGAATTAATTAGTAGAGTTGCAGAATGAGAACGTTTCCGAAAATGCAACATTATGGATTATACATGCACACTGTGAAATTCTAGTGAGCCTGGTAGATGAAAGTCCAGTATCTGCCTTTATTTCATTTGTGCATCGAGATTCGACTTTAAGTGGTTTTTTTGTGGAAAATATTAGTCAACAATGTATGGACAATGAAAATGTAAGTATTTGTGTCTTGATTACTTCTCATCAGATATTTTATCTCACGTTGACCGACATCAAAGACACTGAATACACTAACTCAATACATAAAGATTTATAAAATCTTGTAGAAGGTATAATTGTGAATCGATCTATTTCTATTTTCGACACGCATGTGTAAAGGTGCGTCTACATTGATAAATATTTGTGTTGTTCGTCGAATTTGACTCAAATTTGCGGCACAAAAAAGCTCACAAAATTTTCATCAGATACAACACACGCTATCACGGAAACGAAAAAGGACACTTTACAACTTCTCTTAGCGAAACACTTCCCGGGCGATGGCGGTACCAGGGGCTCGGAGGTCTGACCCAACGAATGGGACTGGGCCACGCCAAAAGAGTAGTCAGTGATGACGGTGACGGTTTGACGATCTCGTGTTGTTGTATGGACCTTTTCAGTGCGACTAGTGTGCCTGCGCCCCTAGTTGGCCTATCATCTGTGTATCTTGTGGTTTGGAAGTGTGAATATTTCTCCAGGTTTCAGTAGCTTTGTCTGGATTAGGTACACGTCTACATTGTGTCGTTCCAGGAAGTATTGGAGCCCTATATTCTTGCTCCTGACTCTATTGGCATTACAGGACATGATACACAGAGATTTAGGTATTTGTAGTCTAGACATGGCTGCTCATCAGTGCAATCATCTGCGCTTGCATTGTGGCCATGAACGTCTGCATCAGGGCTTGTATGGCTCGACTGCTTTGGCCCCGTTGACGTTGGGCGGCTTGCTGCGAGTTCTTCCTGTTCTAGTGGCAGTTTGTGGCTGTGGTGTGCCGAGTGGGCTTGCCCTGCGAGCTGCACCAGCAAGAATTTGTGTGAAATTCTCGTCTTGCCTGTTGTTTCTGTACAGGTTTTGCAGGGCATCCTGAGTAAGAGGTTGGGTGGGCTTCCCCACAGTTGGCGCATTTTGCTGCCTTTTTCCTGGGAATCTGGCATTCCCGAGATTCATGTGCTTCTGTGCACTTCACACATTTGGTCACAGATCTACATTTGGACTACCCATGTCCAAAAAGCTGACACCTTTTGCACTGCGTCGTCTTACTTTCGGCGTGCTGCGATTTTACTCGGACGCGCAGGTTTCCAAGTGCCCTCACATCAAAAATGTGTTTCTCCGTTTTGAGCAGCAGCACTAAAACCATTGCTTATGGCTGCCCATTTTTGTGCCATCGCACTATTGTGATAGGGTGGTAGCCCATCTGGCTTGGCTCACCCCTGATTTTGGCCTCGTCCCACTATTCCAGCACTCGTCTTATGACCACATGGAGCTGTTTTCACTCCTCTAACTAGTATGTGTGATATTGGTACTTGGGAGGAGGGTCCCTTCGAACTCTTTTGATGGTAGCATCACAGCCGTAATTTAGTTTCTCATATTTCTCAATTTTGTTATACTTTTGACACTTTTGATTTCTTCTGCGGTTCTGCTGGGCTTCAGGGGTGGTCTGCATCTGCTAGTCGCTGCCCTAGCACCAGCAGTGCTGGAAATTGCAAATATAATTAAATCAATTTAGGAAATTATCCGTGTTAGTACTAAAAAAATGTCTATATATACTTCGGCCTCAGGATATAAAAGTTCTCGGTATATAATAACATCTCTACTTAGGTATATAATAAACTATTTTGTACACAATAGCAGTTGTACAATACACCACAGAAGCACAATGTGCTATGCATAGCAATATAAGCTCGCTAAAGATTATCATAAATTATGTCACCAATACTCTTTTGGGAAATTACACTTTTGGGAAGGAGAACAAATAAAGTTGCTAGATTATTAGCAATTTTATTTTTCACTATTTTACACATTCAGAACGCTTCGGAAACATAAATTGTTATGCTATATCTGAATCTAAAACGTTTGTGGCTAGTTAACTACGTTCATTTATTAGTAATTGAAAGCCTAATGGTTTAAACCAAACATTGTAGAAAGCATATAAATTCCTGAACACATGATTTTGATATAAATAATTGGTATTCGTATAGTTTTTCCATGATATCTTCGGAGTTGTTCGTTTACATTCAGCCAGCTGACCTTCTTTATTACGCCGGTAACGGCTAAACCCAGATGATGAGAGCTAGTAGGCTCGAAACTAGTCCGGGGGGTGCCTGAAGTTAACGCACCTCCTGCACTTGTCTGCATCAAAAGCTCATGACGTCGCTGATGGTGCCGAAAGCTTTTCATTGTTCACTAGTTTTTTAGTTTTTCAGTACTTTTTTTACGGTTTTGATTGATTTATTATTATAGGTTTTAGTATTTATGATTTTTTTGGTATTAGACAATTATTTAATTTGTAATCGGATTTTGCTTCACTACTGATAGTGTTTTATTAGTATTACCTGGACGAATATCTGATACGGTGACCTGAAGGTCTGCACAATATCGCCAATATCTTTGTAAAATCATGGCATAATCTAAATTTATAGAAATTGCGACTGTGTGAAAAAATTACCAAATATATCGTCTTTTTAGCCACTATTTAAAACGAAAGTATTGAAGTGTTTAGAAAGCTGCCATACTTCGCAGACTAGTATTGTACTGAAGTTGCTGATTTCGAAAATGCTTTCCAACCGACAGATCCTGATTTCTCGGATCGTTGCTCAACTGGCTTGTCGAAAAATTGAATACATTTTTTCTAATCCTAGTGAAGAAATTCTTGCTGGTCTTTCAAGGAACGATTTGTTGAATTACTTGATGTTGGCCAAAAAGTAAGTTATAAAAATGAGTTTTTCTCTAAGTTGAAGTCAACCGTTTTAGGCATGAAACATTAATCGGCCTGCTTAACAAGTTACTTATTCGATATTACGATATGAGCCCTGATGCGCTTTGTGAAAGTTCAGTAAGCTCGATCGTTGATATAAGAAAAATCGATATAAATCAAAACTGGTTACTATCTAACATAGGAATTAAATCTCAAGACGATATTTTAAGGAAGGAAACTGCTCTAGTACTAGATAGTCTAGAATATGAAGAAATCAGCGAGTTTATGTCTAGCAACAGCTTTAACAAAATTATATTTAGAGATTGCATAGAAACCGCCCTCCGAATTCTTGAAGATGGAGGTTGCGAAGAAGAACCGGCGCTTTTAAAAGCTGCAGTCGATAACATATTGAAAGGAATTAGTACAATTTTAAAGGGCATTTGTGACAATCACAAGGTGAGACAATGTAGAAGCATACATATGGAATACTTCTTTATTACCTTTGGATTAATTTTAGGATGGTTCCCTTTCAGTTGAAAGCACCAGTTATGTACCAAGAATGATAAACGCGTTTAAAGAAGAATCTTTCTCGACTCTTCACGACTTGAGCATTTCCGTGTCATCATTGATTAGGCATTTGCCGCAGCTACCTACCCTCCAACTATCCGAAATTGACTGTGAAAATATTTCGAAATTTGCTGTCGTTTGTTTAGAATGCATTAGCTTCCTTTTTGCCACTGGGGGTAAAAATTTGAAATTGAATTATTTAGAAGTATTCATGGAATCGTCAAATGAAATTTTGAAAAACTCCCAATTTTCGAGTCATTTAGGAGTTGACGAAAATCTGCCATGGCTTTGTTCTGCGATTAATGCTCTTTACTCGATTATGGAATACGTTCTAAAAGACGACGAACCTTTACCTTCAATCGAGAGAAATTTGCTTCAGTGTTCATCAGACGACAATGATATTAAGCAAGCACAAACAGCATGCTATTATATGTATATTTTAACCTGTTGGTTGTATAAGAATGCAAGCAGATTTTTTAAAATTCCAAGATTTGTTTTGTATAGGATAAGGAGTTTAATCATATCTTTAGCGCGTCTTCCATTAGTTAATTCCTATAATTTTGTGCCCTATAGAGTTTGGAAGTTAGGGTGGGAACCTAAGCTCACAGGTAAATTTCTTACCCAAATCCCTCCTTTACCTATTGACATGTTGCAAGAAATCGATGTGCTGGAGGAGTATGTTTTCAGGTGAGCGTTGCTTAATCTTATATAATTTTCTTTGATTTGAGTTTCGGCGAAAACACAATTCAACTATTTTTATTTTTCAAACCAACACAAAATGGTTTAAAATCGAACTTATAACCTGTAGTATTTAGACTTGCTGAATTCAAATCCGCGGTCAGTTTGACTCTATCAGGTCAGGATCATGGTCTAACTGGGAAAGAACCATTTAGGCGGAAAAAATCTATACATCTGTACACTTTGTTTCTCCGCACTAGATGCACTCTTTTCACAGTTTATTACTGAACCGGAAGCCCCCGCACCAGGGTATGGCGAGCTGTATCTGTCGATCTTCCTTGCCTGTATGCATGCTGGAAACTCTACAGCGGACTCCTGTTGAACACTTACTCTGTTAGGTACCTTTAAAACTTTTTCATAAGGAAGGACATTAAACTTATGGGTCTGTATGATTTGGCCTTAGTGTAGGCCTTTTTTACCTGGTTTCGGTATAAAGGCCACTTCCGGTGACCGGCAATCAGTAGGGAAATATCCCATCGCCACGCTGGCCCTGAAGATCTCACAGTAATGGGAGTAAGATATCTAGGCCCGACTGCCGCATTTTTGGAATTATCCCGTCTGGACCTGCGGCTTTACATGGTCAGAACTGCGAAATCGCAGTCATGGCTGACGACTTTTTTGGACGTGGTCCAGTCCCATTTATTGGGACAGACCTTGACCTCCGAGCCCCCGGTGCCGCCATCGCCTGGGAAGTGTTTTGCTAGAAGTTGTGGTGTCTCCTTTTTCATTTCTATCCAGGTGCCATTTTCCTGTGCTGAGGATCTTCGCAAGCCGGGCAGATTCCAACAGCGACTCGACCTCGCCACAAAATATCTGCCAGCTTGCTATTTTAGACCTTCTCAATTCCTTCTTAAAGTATCTCCTTGCTTTGAGGTAGAGGTCCCAATTTTTGTAGTAATTTGCGTTGGTGGCTCAGTAAAAAGCTTTTCTGGCTTTCCTTCTCAGGCGCTGAAGAGCGTGATTCCACCACAGGACCGTAGAGGTTCCAACCGCCCTGAGTTCACACGATTTCTGGACGGCTCGTTATTTAGCCTGCTTACCTCGAGTTCCAGCTCCCCTCGAGAGCTTATATCACCTTCAGAGACACCCATGGACTGGCTAAGGTCGTCCCTGTATCGGGGCCAATCAGCTTTTCTCGGATTACTCTTTTTAGATACGATGTCTATCTGGTCCGACTCAATTTCGAATCGGATCATGCGATGGTCGATGTGTATTATTGAATTAAGTTGTCTAGATAGCTGCAGCGCTTCTCCTCATTGGCTCCGATACGAACACCTGCCATGAGGCCGAATTAAAGGTATTTTTGGTGTCCAAAGTTAGCACCTTGCCAATGCGCCTGTGTTTGACTGACTCCGTCTGTGAAGTGCTGGTCTAACTGTGTCTGTGAAGTGCTGGTCTTCATGATTGTCGTGGAAGTCGATTTTCCTTTTCTCCTTCCAAACTGCCTCTCGTTTAATGTTTCTTTTAGATTAAGGTTCTCCGACAATCTCGCGAGTATAATATGCTTTAGAAGTTTGGAACTTGAGTTTAGCAGGCAGAGAAAACGGAACGTCTGCGTGTCGTTTATCTGCCTTATTGGTTTTCCAAGACCAGTTTGCCCGCTTTCCAATTTCGAGGAAATGGACTTTCATTTATTCAGTATCTCAGCGGTGATCCAGTCCGTGCCAGTAGCTTGCCTGTATTTAAGTTTGCGGCCAGCGTCACCAATCTCAGCTAACACAAGTTCTAGTATGAGTCGCGTGTCAACACTTTCCCTAGGTTACTATGGGTCTTGAGGGAAAGAGAGATTTAGCCCACTGTTAGGGCCCGGCCTCGTACGTCAGTCTTTGCCATTTTGTTGCTATTCTGTATCATTGGCCCCAGTAGTTTTCGTTTACCTCGTCAGAGAGTTTCATCCAGCAACTTCTTTTTGCTCTGCTAATGGCCAGCTTTAGGCCTTTCTTGAACCTGGCGTAGGAGACGCTGTCTTCTGGAGTTCTTGTGGCATCTCTACGGTTGTTCCTGGTGGCTCTCCTTTTTAGTTCTGTCGATGCCGAGCGTTCGCGCAATATCGATCGGATGCTTTTTCAAAAAATGTTCTCTTTGAATTGACATCTGAATAAAGTGGCTTTATAATGTTTAAAAAACATATTTCGCCTCTATCTATTTTCTAAGATTGTGCACTCCGAAACTTGCACCTTGCGTTGCCATTATTAGGAAACATTTCTGATAAGTATTAACTCGCAATTCTGGCCTTATGTGGTGCTGCACCGTTGTACTGAACTCAGAGATTGTTTAGTTATTGATTTCAATACTGTAGATATTCATTGAAAAACTCATTAGAAATATTTGAACCGAATGCAAAAATGATTCTTAATTACAAACGAACATCAATAGTTTTTACAGTCATGATTCACTTGAGCCTCTACCTAATAACCTGATTTTTTAGGACGAGCATCCTAGGTTGGACCACAAGGCAACAATTTGAGGAAACTTGGATGTGCATGTTAAGTGTGTTATGCACACCTTTGGACAACGTGGATCTAACAGACATCAACATCGCCAGGCGAGCTTCTACTTTGGCAATGAAAGCCATTACTGATCAGCTGTTGCAAACTCTCAGATATCCCGTTTTGGGAAACAAGAACGTGTCAAAACTAATCCATGTGTCAAGGAATAGGCAGTTTCCAGATACTACTATCAGGTAAATATATTGCGTTACTGCTTTGTATCACAAGCTTCAATGGCAAACCTAAGCAATGCATGCTTAGAAATTCATTCAACTTTATTTAATATATTTCACAATTTCTTACACAATGATTCTCCTAAATTAAGACCGAATCCTAAATATAATTACCTATACGGATATTGCGTGCGGAATCAAAATTTACGAATCATATTGACCCTGGATCTTTCTCGGATTTCTTCTTGAAGTGCTTTCTAAATTCAATGAAGATCGGTCTAAGCCTGTCCAAGCCCTTATGTTTCTCAACCAGGAATCTCTACACGTCCTGTCTCAGGACATTGCCAAGGCAAGCAGTCTTTCGCTTTTTTATGGTCTCGAGAATTGTTTGGTTCTTGTTAATTCTATGTAAGAGCTCTTGATTGGTGGTATGATCGGTTGAACGCGCAGCATTCTGCGACATCTAAAATCCTTTCTTACTTAAATTACTTGAATATAATAAAATGATTTAAAATAGTTAACTTAGGTGAGAACTTAAGTTCCTAAGCAGCAATAGGAGAGGAGAAATCGGGACTATAAAATTCACCAAATATACACAGCAAATTCCCAAAATAACGCGCAATACCAGGCCTATTAATTAAACTCGACTCACGCTTGGAACTGGAAAGTAATCACTAGATTCTAAAATGTTCAAGAATAGTCAACCAGGGTCTGGCTAAATAAAGAAAATTTGCTCTCGACACTAAGAGAAATTACGAAATATTAAATAAAATTTCACTTGGTGAAAGTCCTTTGATTCAAAATTAATTAATCAAAGGCCTTCAATTATAAATTGTCAATCAAACGCGCGTCCGAACATAAGTTCAATAGTCAATAGTCTCAAGTAATATTCCTACGAATTATTCTCCCACTCTCCCGCTGTGCATGCTTATTTTTATCAGTAAAATGTGGTTTCCATGTAATACTGGGGTATTTCTTGTTAGCGAGTTCATAGTCGATTTCGTTTCTGTATGCTGAGTTCGGGCTTCTGCACGTCCATCTTCTACCAACAAGTTACTTAAAGAAGGAGTTCATGCAGAATAGATTTTCTCTCTGTAGAAAGTTGACTAATAGTTCTCCGCGCGAATTTCGTTCACCTTTTCCGACGTGGTGGAATGTGTAAATCTTGTAGGTCGCATATCTTGGCATTGAAATCGGCAGCGAGAAAAGTGTATTGCGATTTTTCCATAGAGCCAGTGTCACTTCCTTTTTTTGTAGTCCCTGTTCAGCTTTTTGCACCAAAGCAAGTATCTGTCGACTTTACTTTTCTGATGCGTGCTGGTTACTCTGCAGCGGAGTCCTGACGAGGACTTTCTCTGTTAGGTACCTATTAAAGACGTTAAACTTGTGGGGTGCGGGTAACTTTCCGTGCGTTTTAAAACCGTTATGGTTTTTTAGGGGGTGTGTAGCCATTTTCTCTCCACCCTGGCCGGACGGGTAATATGGACTCCTAACATGGAGAACAGACGCTGTTTGCAGCCGCCTAATATGGTTTCATTTATTACACATATCCAATGCTAAAATTGACCTTAATTTTTTATTTTCAAAATCGGTTTCCAACTTTAACTCGAATTTTCTAGTTCAACCGTTTATCCTCTGGCACTTAATTTCATTGAGTTTTAAAGCTTCGTTATCCCTCTATCGACTTATGTCATTATGGAAATATTCGTTGAATTTTTAGAAATTTTTGTTTACATGAAAACATGGACGAAGTCGAAAATTCTCGAACATTTTTTCTATTCATTGATCTGGTTAAAATCGGAAACCTATAGTTTATCATTATGAATCTCAAAAATCGTTAACCACATCTATTAGCTATGTTTCGGTCTAACTAGAATACATCCGTCATCATTTTCTGATTTTTGGGATGCATTTCAATTGATCGGTACCAAAATTTACCGATTACATGAGTTAAATGGAATTTTTTTTTCTTCCTCTATACTGAATCAATTTGACATGGAGTTGATTCGTATTATTGTCTCAATACTAATTGGTCTCAATTTCAACCAATTCTAATGTTATTTGACTGTTTTATTCAGTTTTGAAAATTGCCCCTCCATAAGGGCTTGTGCAAACTTTCGTCTTCCCTCTGTAGCTCACATAGAATTTTTGAAGTGATAACTTTTTATGGGAAGGTGAGGGCGGCTCCCACTCCGGCCTCTTCGCGCCTGAGGCTTGGGAGGCACATATGCACTTTGAATTCGACATTTTTCTCTTAGTGCGGGTGCATCTGTAGATCTGATACACTTTTCAAATACACATTGCGTTATTAAATTGACAGTGATTTTGATTTATCAATTATTGAGTGTGATATTGTGTTCGGTGCAGTTTATTTTATAACGCTGATAACAATGAATCGACAAATTATCAAGGGAGAAGCTGCAGATACTGCAAATACTAGGTTAAGGGTGCTCATCTACTAAATGCCTGTTCGAGTTTCACCTTCTTTTAAATTTCCAATTAAAGTACACACAATTATACACACTAAAGCAGTTTGTGCAAAAAAATGCGGATCGTCCATCAATTTGCAGAAAAATGTATTACAAACTTTTGAAAATTATCTTCAAACGACCGGATATTTATCATTGCAAATGAGATTGCACATTTCCGTGTACTGTTAAATATTGTTTTAAGAACTAACAATCGATGTTGTGCAACAAAATTGTGCCTAAGATCTACTACAATACCTTGGACCTATTTTAAATCGCCTGATTGATTTTGGACGCAAATTCGTATCAAGAAAAGATTAAATTAAATTAAATCGTATCGATCGAATCCCGATACCGATTCCCTATGTCTTACTGTCCGTCTGTAGTCCAGATGCTGCCCAGATGATGTCCATTTGCATTGTATTGCACGATTCAAAGTTCTGAGCACGTAAACATTACTACCTAGTTGTTTAGTGATTTTCATCGGAGACAATTATTAAACCAGATGTTGGGCGGATATTTTCTATAGAAGGTAGGGTCAATTTATGAAAAACCCTCAAGATTAAGTGCAAATAAAGTGTCACAACTATTATTATTAACTTTTAATGCAATATATTATTGCTATAATATAGTTCTATTATTTGTTATTTTATTTTGTAACAACAAATAATCACTATTTAGATATATATTTTGTAATCTTTCATATTTAATTGATGAATTTATGAAATTTTGAAAAATTTGTGAAAATTTATTTTATTTATGAAAAGTACATTCATCACTAAATAACACATTTTCGAAAAACTTTTCATTTTCTGCCACTTTATCTAACACCCACATGCAAAACTCAGTTCG